CCATATGTGATGCATGTCAAAAGGGGAAGCAAGTTCGGGCTTCGTTTAAATCTAAGAACGTTGTTTCAACGTCTAGACCGCTTCAACTTTTGCACATGGATCTCTTTGGTCCTTCTAGAACGAAAAGCTTTGGTGGCAATTACTTTGCGTTTGTGATTGTCGATGACTACTCTAGGTTTACATGGACCTTGTTTCTTACTCATAAAAGTGAAGCATTTCATGTTTTAAAAAATTTTCTAAAGAAAGTTCAAAATGAAAAAGAAACAACCATAGTAGCCATAAGAAGCGACCATGGGGGAGAGTTCGAACAAAATCTGTTCTCAGATTTGTGTGACGAACTTGGCATTGATCATAACTTCTCAGCCCCACGTACACCACAACAAAATGGAGTGGTGGAACGTAAGAATAGATTTCTCGAAGAGATGGCTAGAACTATGATCAATGAGGCAAAAATCCCTAAGTATTTTTGGGCGGAAGCCGTGAGTACCGGGAGCTACGTGTTAAACCGAGCCGTCATTCGACTGATACTCATGAAAACGCCCTATGAGCTATACAAAGGGAGAAAGCCAAATCTTTCCCATCTTCGAGTCTTTGGTTGCAAATGTTTTATTCATAATAACGGCAAAGATAACTTGGGAAAATTTGATGCCAAGTCAGACGAAGGGATTTTTCTTGGCTATTCTCTTCGCAGCAAGGCCTATAGAGTATTTAATAAACGTACTTTGACTATTGAGGAGTCCCCTCATATTGTATTTTCCGAAGATAATGCTCGCTTGGCGAGAAAGGCTATTTATGATGATCTTGCAGATTCACTAGAGAGAGTACACCTTGAAGACGATGAAGAAGACACACCATTATACACCAACCCGCAACCACAACCTGAGGAAACACCTCAAGTGATGGTCGAAAGTGAAGACCAAGCAGACGAAGAAGAACAAGAGGAAGCCCGGGAACAAGAGGAAACCGAGCTTCCCATTGCTTGGAAAACGCACAGGAACCATCCACTTGACCAGGTAATCGGCAGCATCAACCGCGGGGTAAGTACTCGTAACTCTCTTAGGGACAACGTAGGACACGTGGCTTTTGTATCTCAAATTGAACCTACAACCATTTCCGAAGCAATAAAAGATGAACATTGGACCTTGGCTATGCAAGAGGAGCTAAACCAATTCAAACGGAATGACGTTTGAGAATTGGTGCCAAGGCCCGATGATCGAACGATTATTGGTACGAAATGGGTGTTCCGTAACAAACTTGATGAAAATGGAATAATCACTAGAAACAAAGCTAGGCTCGTAGCTAAAGGCTACAATCAAGAAGAAGGCATTGATTTCGAAGAAACTTATGCATCTGTGGCACGTTTAGAAGCTATTCGTTTACTTCTTGCTTTTGCTTCGTCTATGGACTTTAAACTTTATCAAATGGATGTTAAGAGTGCCTTCCTCAATGGTTTTATTCAAGAGGAAGTGTATGTTGACCAGCCCCCAGGGTTTGAGGACTTTGAGTTTCCCGATCACGTCTTCAAACTCAAGAAAGCGCTCTACGGTCTTAAACAAGCACCACGTGCTTGGTACGAACGTTTGAGTAAATTTCTTTTGGATAGTGGCTTCCAAAGGGGAAAGGTTGACACTACACTTTTTATAAAGAGTAAAAACAATAACATCCTTTTGGTTCAAGTTTATGTAGACGACATTATATTCGATGCTACTAACGAGTCTTTGTGCAATGAATTCTCGACGCTAATGACTAGCGAATTTGAAATGTCAATGATGGGCTAGCTCACACTCTTTTTGGGACTCCAAGTTAAGCAAATGAAAGATGGAACGTTCATTTGCCAAGCTAAATACTGCAAGGAGCTCCTAAAACGGTTTGAAATGGACAACGCCAAAGCCATGGCAACCCCGATAAGCACGTCTGACCATCTTGACAAAGACGAGAAAGGTAAGGAAGTAGAGGTCAAAAAGTATCGAGGTATGATCGGATCCCTTCTCTATCTTACCGCTAGTAGGCCGGATATCATGTTTAGCGTATGCCTTTGTGCGAGGTATCAATCATGTCCGAAGGAATCGCACTTAACTACAGTAAAACGGATCATGAAGTACCTTGTCGGCACGGTTAACGTTGGACTGTGGTATCCAAAAGGCTCTTCTTGTCATCTCGTCGGCTACTCCGACTCGGACTTTGCCGGTTGCAAATTGGACCGTAAAAGTACGAGTGGGACTTGCCACTTACTTGGTAGTTCCTTAGTCTCATGGTTTAGCAAGAAACAAGTCAGTGTTGCGTTATCCACAACCGAAGCGGAGTATGTAGCCGNCGGTAGTTGTTGTGCTCAAATCCTTTGGATGAAGCAACAACTCGTGGACTATGGCCTTAGTATCAATCACGTTCCTCTTCGTTGTGATAATACTAGCGCCATAAGCTTGACGAAGAACCCCGTTCTTCACTCAAGGACGAAACACATTGACATTAGGCATCATTTCATTAGAGATCATGTTCTCAAAGGTGATGTCGAAATTGAGTTTGTTGAAACACACAACCAATTAGCCGACATTTTCACAAAACCTTTAGAGAAAGAGTCGTTCTTCCGCATTCGAAGTGAACTCGGAATCCTTGACTCCACGATGATCTAAGTTGTGCATCTAAATTTATTAAACATTTACTAACTTGAGCGTCGGAGAACTTTTTCTTTTTTGCAGGTACCCCGTTCATGAAATCAGGGGGAACCAGGCAAACAGCGCTGTCCAGGAGACACAACAGCGCTGTTGAGGGAAACACCGTCAACCAGAAAGTTTTCCAACAGCGCTGTCCATCAAGCTAACAGCGCTGTCCCAGGGAGTCCCTTACATCTTCACTTTCCAGAAACTTTTTCAACATCGATGTTCTCTTTTAAACATCGCTGTCTTGCCCAAACTTTTTGTTTTCAACCAAAACCAAAACCTTTTTCAACAACGATGTCTTACCTACAACATCGATGTCCACTTTTACAAATTTTTTTCTCTATCGCAAAACAGCGATGTAGAAAAACCCAACAGCGCTGTTCAAATGTGTTCAAACCCTTAAACAATTCCAGAAACTTTTGGAACATCGCTGTAAGGTACTCAACATCGCTGTCCTTTTGACTCCTGTTTTTTTTTTTAAACTTGACGCAGAACAGCGCTGTACAAGGAACAACAGCGCTGTCCCAACAGTGATGTCGCCTGTAGAACATCGCTGTTCTGGTCAAAATTTTCAAAAAAAATATCCGTTGCTCCTTCATTTATTGCTCCAACAGTCATATTTTTTTGAAATTTTGGACGTTGGAGGCCTCCTTTTCTATAAATGGGAGCCTCCACTCCTCATTTTTACACACACAAACACAAATTCTCTCCATTCTTCTTGCATATCTCACTCTACTTTCAATTTTTTTTTCTTCCTCTTCATCATGGGCAAGGACAAGAGCAGGGCCGCCACTTCCGGGAAATCAAAGTCCAAATCCCGGGCGCCTACATCTTCCTCCGAGGAGCGCCTCTACTATGGCGATGGGTCATACCTTTGGTTTGATTCCGAGGAGGAGCGCACCCGTTTCCTCACCTTTTTCTCTAAACGGGTTGTGGCTCCCCCACGGATCATCCCGGAGCGCTACCCGGAACTGCAGGGCTACGACGAACTTGACGCACAGCTTCATCAAGCCGGCCTTTGGCCGTTTGTCTCCCGGGCGCACAAGGAGATCAACCCGGCGCTGATCCGGGCCTTCTACTCCAACCTCCGGCGTGAGGACGACGTGCTCTACTCGCTTGTGAAGAGCACGTCGATTGAGCTCACCGTGGAGCAGCTTGGGCGCATCGCCGGCCTCCCCTTCCAAGGCGACGACGTGTCTCACTATGGCGGAGAGGACTGGGTGCTCAACAACGAGGGCCTTATCCTCAACGAGCTTTGTAACGCCCCGAAATCTGGCCCAAAAGAATTAATTAAATTGTTAGAGCAATTGATCACGAATTGGGCCTAAAAAGGGGTTAAAATTATAATTTGGATTCTAAGCCCAACTTTTATGTCATCTCGTAGGAAATATTTTTGTGATCGCGTCGGTTCAGACGGCTCGCGAATCGGAGTTATGGAGCTCATGTTATGACCATTTAATCAGGTATTTTGGGTCCGAAGCCCAATCCTTTTAGGAATGGGATCAATAATTAAAACCTAAACCTATTATCTACCACACGATCGTTATCTTCTTCTTCTTCTTCTCCTTCTTCTTCTTCTTCTCCTTCTCCTTCTTCTCTTTCTTCGTCTTCAACAGCCGCGGTCGTCGCCTCCACTTCCAGCGCCGGTCGCCAATCGCCGCCGCTGCTTCCTTCGCCAGAGGTCCGCCGTTAGCATCAGCGCCGCCGACGACGGTTCACCTCGTCGTTCTGCCGATCTTCGCCTCCACTGCCAGCGTCGGTCGTCCTCGCCATCGAGCTGCAGCGCCGCTGTTTCTCCTTCGCCGGAAGTCCACCATCATCGCCGTCAAGTGCAGCGCCGCTGTTTCGCCTTCGCCGGAAGTCCGCCATCATCGCCGTGGGGTGCAGCGCCGCCACGCCGAGCGCTGGACGTCGCCTCCACTGCCGGCGTCTTTCCTCGCCGTCGAATTGCAGCGCCGCCAGTCGCTGCTCATCGTCGTCGAGCTGCCGCTACGCCACTGTCGCCGGCGTCTCTCACCGTCGCCGCATCCAGCCGCTGCCCCGAATTGATATCGCCGGCAGATTAACCTCCACGCCGGATTGATTGGTCGATTTCGCATTTTGACTCAATTTGACCCGTTCGTTTGATTTCGTTGATTTGTCTTCCGTTCGAGCTATCGATTCGATTTCTGCGTAATCCAGGTCCGTACTATGAAGTTAATAGCATTTAGAATAGATTTAATTGTTTGGATCGTTATATGTGTTTATGCTATAATTTGGCTAAATTGGTTAATTGAATTAAATTGATTATTTGAATTGAATTGTTGAGGATTGCGAATTGACTGAACAGGTTTCACTATGGCTTGGGTTAGGTCCTGTTTGACTTGGACTTTGACTGGATATTCTGTCGACGTAGGTTTGACCGAATGGTTAAATCCAAGACTTTAATGAATTAGTTAAGTTAATTAATTAATTCTAATCGGTGATTAAGGTCAATTGGTTTATTATGTCGAACATAGAAACTGGCCATTGCTCGGGCGGCTGCAGGGCCTGGTCAGTGAGGTTAAGACGTGCGCACGAGGGTCTGT